TGTTCAGAAGCACTATGCATGTAAGCAACTGTTCTAACCTTTTCTATCATGAGTTTAATTTTAGTAAATACACTTTGAACAATTAAATTTAAAATATGACAGATGCACCTATTATGAAAAAGATCACCATGACATGGCAATGATAAAGATGATCTGATAAAATCAACAGCTACATTGTTATTATTTACATTATCTAGTGAAAGAGAAAATATTCTTTGTGAAATTTCTAATTTCATAAGTTCTTCAATTATTAAATTTGTAACATTAGCACCAGTATGTGACTCTTCTATTGCAATAAAAGAAACAACTCTTTTAAACATTTGCCAATTTTCATCAATCCAGTGTGCTGTGATACATAAATATCCAGTTTGTGCTCTAGATGTCCAAATATCAGAAGTTAAAGAAAATTTACAGTTTAAATTTTTAAAATAAGAAATTATTTTTTCTTGTTCCTGTTGATAATATTTTAAAATATCACGTTGACAGGTTTGACGAGAAATTTTTTTAAATGCAGGATAAAAACCATCTCTAAACATATCTTCAAATTCATCATCTTCTACTAATTTAAAAGGAAGGTTTTTAAGAATGATAAACCTGATTACGCATTTCCTGGCTCTGGCAGCGTCATAGTTCCAACTACCGAGACTACCAGAAGAGGAGGATTGAGAAATCATAGATTGTCGGATATCACCTTGAGGAGTCTGGCCTTTGTTGTGTTTATCTAAATGGCGTTTGAGGTGGTTGGTGCCGCTCTTATGATGAGCTTGAAAAATCTTGCCGCACAAAGCACACTTAGCCTTCTGGGTGAGGATCCTACCGTGTTCATCCTTGGTGACGTCGATCTTCTCGTAAAAATTCCACACATCGGATCTTGGCCGTTTAGGAGCTCTTGGTGCAGATTCGTCGCCACCGGATTCGAGATTAACTTCGGTAGGAGGACTCATAGTAGGAGGACTCATAGTAGGAGGACTCAATTCAGGATCGGGAGATATGTTTTGCTCTTCATAATCAGATCCGGAAGCCATTTGGGGATTGGATTAGAAAGTATAAATAAGAGAGTATAAGAGTATAAGAGAGAGTATAAGAGTATAAGAGAGAAGAGATGAGTTTTTGGTGTGAAGAAAACAAATGAAAACCCCCCTCTATTTATAGAACCAGCCCCCTAGGTAAATGACCAAAATAACCTCACAAAATAGCCGTTTTTTGACCGTTTTGGGGGCAAACGGTTCAAAGGGCGAATCTGGCCGTTTGTTACGCGGCCGGCTGGATCGTTTTGGCAAAACGGTCACCATTGGTGACACGCTTCGTGGGCGGGGCCGGCCCGGACCCGCCGGCCCTGACCTATTCTTATCATTGGCAACTGCGTCACACTGGTTTTTTGTTCGGTTGTTGTTGCCACCCGGCGGGCTCCTGGTCCGGGCTGCGCCGGTCCTGGGCGTTTGATTATACCGGCGGGTACGTACTTTTTCACGGGCCGGGCCGGGCCGTCAGGCCGGGCGCCGCTGAGGTCCACCCGGACGCCGTTATTGGCCGGAAACCCGGCCTGGCCGGTTTTTCGCTTGTTTCCGCGGCTTTCTCGGCCAGGCCCGGGCCGGGCTCCGGGCCGGGGCCGGGCCAGCGGGTAAAATGGACAGCCCTACTCGTCCTATTCCTCTTTCTTTACTAGTCTCAATGAAAAATATTTTCCTTAATGTTTTAGAATGCGGGAAAGATTATTAGCGGCCCTTGTATCTTCTCTAGCTGTGGATTTTTGTTTTGAAAGACGTAAAATACGTCTTTCAATCAAATAGAAGTTGCTCTTCGATGAGAACGACATCAACTCATTACAAATGTTGTAATTATGGAGGTAGGTAGGCATTTGTTTCTTGTTTTAGCATGCTAAATTCTACAAGCAACTAAGGCGCATAGCAGTTACAGAGGTAGCTAACCCTTTCCTTAAAAGGAATCAGGAAGAAACAATAAGAGTGAAAAGAACAAATTAAATAAAAAGCAAAGGTCTTCTGTAATAGATCTATTGATGCAGTTAAAAACTGTAGCGTAAACCACAAACATATCAGCACATCATCCTCCCTCTGTCTCGCATCAAAAAGGATTTAGAGACAACGAGAGGATATTCTTTATTGGTAATTATCGGACGCCAAGTCTGAGAAGTCAATATCCAGATGGTTTCCCACTTTCACTCGTTTGGTGAAATAATAGATGCTTAGGGGGTGTTTGGTTGCACAATTTTATAGAAAATATTTTTCAAAATGTCTGACAATAACAATTTTGTAATTACAAATTTTCTGTAGATTTCCGTAAATAGTGTTTGGTTCAAAAAAATTACAGAAATATTTTCTGTAAAGTACAAAAAAATACCAAAATTTACAGAAACCAATTTTCTCTCAAAATTGAAGGAAATCACCCAGAAATCTGACATCATATTGATATTTTTCTATAAAGTTGACACTTTTCTATAAATATAGAGGGTGTTTGGTTCAGTTTTTACAAATGATAGAAAATCTTACTATTTTCTATAAACTTATGGGTCATTTTCTTGTTTTGAACCAAACAAGCAAAGTAAAAAACAACAAAATTGGTACTTTTTTATTTCTCAAAACTTTTCTTATAATTTTTTAAGAAATACAATGAAATCATATTTTGGATGAAAAACATTTTCTATAATTTATAGAAATTGAACCAAACACCCCATTAGTATTAGGTCCCTGTCAATGACTTCTTCAGACCGTAGCAGCTCACCAAAGCGTTTCAATACACATTAAATACGGTTTCGCACCTCTAATGACGTCATTAACAAAACGGATCGTCCTAAGATAACTACTAAAAAACAAACTTTTGAGCAGAAAGATTGATGAGAAAATAATTGTAACTACGCAAGAGTTTATACACAGATTGGAATATGTAAAACTTCAGGTCAAATTCCAACAGAAGAGATAAAACAACCGTAAATATCTATACTAATATATTTAACAAAAATAAAAAATAAATTTAAATAGTAGGGCTTCAAAAAAAGGATCCGGATCCTCTACTAACGAGCCATCTACTAATATTTACTAATAAATCAATCACGACCGTTCATTTTTAATCTACGGCCAAGATCCCTTCTCTCAGCCATTAACTTGATCTCTCTTTCTCTCCTCTCAATCTCAATCTCAATCTCTCCGGTGACTCCTCCTCCGCCTCGTCGCCGACTCCTCCTCCGCCGCTCATCTGCCCCGTCGTCGACTCCTCCTCCGCCACTCCTTCGCCCCGTCACCGACTCCTCCTCCGCCGCTCCTCTGCCCTGTCGTCGACTCCTCCTCCGCCGCTGCTCCGCCCCGTCGCCAACTTGTCTGCGAGGTTCACTGTAGCAACTCATCTCAGGTTCTTTCTCTT